GAAATTCGGTGATAGTAGTCAATTAAAATGTTGAAATATATGCAGGGAGTTCAGAAAACGTGATTATTGTTTGATCAGGCAATTTTTTTATTTCCAAACCTTCTTCAGACCTCAATTACTGTTTGATAACTTTGAATTGCTTCATGTTGAAGTGCTTATTTGCACCAATTATTAGGCATATTTGAGCTCAGCGTCGGAGAATATCATTAGTCAAGTTTTCGGCATCATCGGGAGTTTCCAAGGGGTAATGTCATAATTATGACAGCAAAAGAACATTACGAGTCGATCAAATAATGATTACATTTCTTTCAGGGTACCCTGTAAAGCCTAATTTTGTCGAATTGGATGATAGGTTGTTCTTATCGAGAAAGAGGCTTTCTTTGATTGAGGACAGACACTCATAAAAACAAAAGAGTTACAAGGTTTTTATTGAGAAAGACTGTCCCTCTCTCAACTCCCTTACAGCATTTCAATCGTCCATTCCATTCACATTCTCTTCATCTCCATTCTTTTCTGATTCCTTTTTTCTCCGTTTTTACATAGAGAAAATTTGGACCAAAAAATTGTTAATAGTTGTGCGCCCAAAGTAAATGTACCAGTTGCTTCAGCACACAAAATGGACTTTTTTGCAATATGAACACAAGGATTGTGTATGAATCATTACTGCTGCTCATTACTCCTAACAAGCGTTCTGTGAATAAAAAGAAGTACAACGAAACACATAATAGATTATGACTAAAAGAAGAATGATGGTATGAACAACCTGCAGATCTGAGTCTCACTCAGGCTAACGCTGACCTTTCAAACTTGTAATTTACACTTTGTTGGGCCTTGCCAAAAGTGTGGTTCAGCTCTAATATATTTGTGTCGCAAAAAAATTGCAGCCTTTGGAATACAATTTGCAATGTTTATATCATTTACCGCTTTACACATTTTTGGACGGATCAATGTTTAAGTTGTATCTATCATAATTAGGCATTTGGGCACAAACAGGAGTTTTATGGATTGCTGTATTCCATCAAGTGTGGTCCTATAATGACAACTATAGTTTTTTTTAGACTTCCTATAGTATAGGGTCTTTGTTGCAAAAGTATTGTGGTAATCATCATTATCGAAACATATATCTCAGAAGAACAAATTTAATGGAAAATATTAAGTTACTGAATACGAAGTTAGTTGCACCTCTTCGTTGTGGGACTTTTCAATGTTTCTGTGTAGCTGAAGCAGAGTCTACATTCTTCTTGAAATACAGGACGATGAGGGTTCACAATAATAAACCCAATGTTACTATTCTCATCTTGGTGAGAGGCAGTTTTTTGAAATTGGTGTAATCATGAAAGTGCACATATCCAGACAGCACTATAGTGATTGAGCATCTGTCCGTTCAGACCAGTTCTTTCGGATTTTCAGACGCAGCATTGCTTTTTTTACTGAATGGTGCTACCTGTATATTGGCATGCGAATTACAGGGGCGCCATTACGTTTGAACTCAATGGTTATATGGTGATCTCTCACTTGTATTCAATGCTGTAGCACTATAAATGTTGTTTTGTTATGCTAACAAGGGAAAAATACTTAGTGGCCGTGGTCGTTCAGAATAAGATGTATATCAGAGGATTAGCCTTAGGACACAAGTCTCAGACATTCCTTAATTATCTGCTAAACAATTCTTATAAGGAAGTTATGGAGCGACAAAATTCAACACGGTAGTTTTGTAAGCAGTTCGATAACAACAGGTTCTAAGAAGCGTGTGGTGTACTGGTAAGTGTGCTGTCTGCCAGGTAAGTCATGCGGGTTCAATCCCTAACTGGTTTTTCCTAAAATGCTTCTTTTCACCAAGAAGCCGATTTCCATCACGATTATGCTATTTTGACATTTATTCATAAA